CATTTCTGAAGAAGGGTTTCGACCCGAAACGTCAGCTTTCCTGCTCCTCTGATGCTGTTTGGCCTGCTGTGTTCATCCAGATCCGCACCTTGTTATCTCAGATTCTCCAGCATCGGCAGTTCCTACTATCTCTCATACCAAATATTGTTTTGTTTCTTCATGTGAAAGTTTGTATATGAGGGTGAAGAGTGAAGGTGCTAATCTTACAAATATTTCTATTTTATCAGCATTATCCGCAACAAACAAATATAGATTGTGTAATTAGTGTCCTTTAAAAACTTCCTTTACCAATTCTGTGATCTTGGTTGGAAGTAAAAATTGACTTTAAGATCAGACATATACAGAAAAAAATACAATAGGATCTAAACTAAGAATGCTCCAACTCATTTCACATTGTTCCCATAACTAACAGATAAAGAGGACCAAAAATGTTTGGTCAGGCTCCAAATGCAAAATTGTTGGCTGCTGCCAGCCTGCATCAATCCCTCATACTCATGCCTGCTAAAACCTAAGGTTTGCTGAAGGTGTCACAACTGGCCAGTATTGCTCAGAGGTAATTGTCGAGGAGCCTCAAGAAGCATTGCTTAGATGTACCTAAAATCTAGCTTTGGATTTCTTCACTGTACCTGACACCTCAATTGCACACTGTAAATGTGCTGTTTTCAATACTGGTAAGTGTTTGCATTTCACTTTCCAATATCATACACACATTATGCAGTAAATCTGGCACAGAATGGGGCAATTTTGACATTGCATAATTGTTTGAAGAGGGGTGGAAGCATATTGGCAGCATGGTATACCTTGCTCCTGACTTTATTTCCATCATATTCATAATTATAATTTTTAATTAGCTGCGTTAACGTAGTCAGTGAGAACATTGAGCAGTTATCCAGTCAGTAAACAATGTTATGTGAAAATGGAGTCAAACTTGGATATAATTTTATGTGGGCTTGTTTTTGAAGGTTGTACCAAAGAAAACCAAAGATTTTTTACTTAATGTAGGTACTTCGGGCACATATACTACCACTGACAAACGTTGCATTCAACAAGTCTGGATCAAAGTAAGTATTCCAGTTACTATACAAAATCCTATATGTCTATTTCAATACCCTTGTCTGAAAAGTTCAGTATTATTCTGTGTGCACAGAAACTGTTAGCCATCCGTTGGTGTTCTGATGAGAGCCCATCAATCAGTAATGTTGGATGAGATATTTGTAGGGAATTGCAGTAATACAGTGGTAACTTTGTAATGGAGGGAAAAAGGAGATCCCACTGGATTCAAAAACAGGCCCTCATTGTAAGTATTTTCTTCCACTTCCCGCTGTGTGCCAGAGAAGTTGACAGACTGACAAACCCCCGACAGGAGGCTGCAACCCTTTTTGGGGTCAGTTACTGCAATCTAGAGTGAGCAATCTGAGCTGAGGAGAAAGAAAGATACATTGACAGAAGAGACTGAGTGACTGGTGGTCTGGTTGGTGGAAGTCTGACATGAAGCATCTTTGTAGAGAGAAACACATTAATGTTTCAAGCCTGAAGACTCTTCTTTAGAACTTCTTCAGTTCACCAGAACTCACCACGGGAATGACATTCCCTGGAGAAGAAACAGCAGCCTAGGAATAAACAGATATCATAAGAACAACCAATGACAGTGTGTGTGCGTACTGTTACACATCTGCAAAATTTAAAGACTATGTATGCAATGCTTACACCGAGACCGATGCAAATGAAACTTTCTAGAGTTAACACACTGATTTGTTAATTGATGATCATTTTCTTTATAACCAAGTGGATTGGTTAACTTGTGTAATTTGTCACTGCAAATTATAATGCGTGCAATTCTTTTTGTGAAAGGGGAGATGTTTAGAGAAATGCAATTGTACCGTTAGTGTACTGGTTGGCTTGGCATAGTTATGTGACCTCCACCTTTTGCTGTACATACAAACATAAAAATGTACGATACAGGCCCCTTGAGTCTGCTCCACTATTTAACAAGATCATGACTAATCTGTTTGTGTTTTGAATTCCACATTGCTATCTGCCCCCTATAAGCCTTGATTCTCTTACCTACAAGAATCTATCCACCTCTGTCTTAGAAATATTCAAATATCCCACCTCCACCTCCTTCAAAGGCAGAGAGTTCCATAGTTGCATAACTGTGTGAGAGAAAATGTCTCCTCATCACTATCCTAAAAGAGCAATTACTAATTTTTAAACCAGTGCCCCATAGCTCTGGACTGACCTATAATGAGAAATATCCTTTCCATATTCACGTTGTCAAGACGTTCAGGATCTTATATAATTCAATCAAGTCACCCCACTCTCTTCTAAACTGCAGTGGAAAAATGCCTGGCCTTTCCAACCTATCCTCATCAGTTTAACTGAAGCATGGTATCATGCTTTTATGTTCAATTCTTTTCATAATAAAAGGCAGCATGATTATGTGCTCCACCTGCATGTTAAACTTTTGTGGCTCATGTATCAGAACAGTTAAATCCCACTGTCTTCAGAATTCCACAACTGTTTTCTGTTTACATAAAACTCTGTTTAAGTTAAACTATTCTTCCAGCCAAAGTGAACAACTTTGCATTTTCCCATATTGTACTCCATCTGCCAGATCTTTGCCCACTCAATCAATCTATATCCATCTGCAACTTCCTTACATCTTCTTTACAACATACTTTTCTACCTATCTTGGCCATCTGCAAATGTAACTCCATTGCTTTTGCTCCCCTCATCTAAGTTATTTATGTAAATTGTGAACTCAATTTGTCACATCTGCCAATCCGTTTTATGCATTTTATTTGTTTACTGCCAGCCAGAAGCAATATTCTTTCTATCCAGTATACTGAAGACAGAAGCAAAACATTTGTTAATTTAACCTGCTATTTCTTTATTATCCACTATTAACTCCCCATTCTCACTCTCTAGAGGACTAACACTCAATTGATCTACTCTTTACCTTTCTATATCTATACAAAACTCTTGCTATCCATTTTAGAGTCTTCTTCTCATACTCTAAATTTTTCCTCCTAATTAGTCTTTTTGTGATTCTGTGCCTTACTTTATATTCTGACAATCACCTGACTTGCCATTCATCTTTGTAGAGTTATCTGCCTTTTCATTAAGTTTGATATTTTAGTTACATCTTTAGTTAACCATGTGGTGGGTGCTGCCTTTACAGTTTTTTCCTTATATTAGGAATATACATTTTCTGAGTTTTCTGAAATATCCCCTAAAATGTCTGCCATTTATATCTGGTATATCAGTTCACTTTAGCTAACTCAGCTTTCATGATCGCATAGTTACCCTAATTTCAGTTTAAAAGACCAGTTTTAGCCCCAACTTTCTACCTTTCAAATTGGGTGCAAAATTTGGTCACATTTCAGACACTGGTGGAAGCTGGAGTGCCTTAATTCTGAGGACTTCAAATCTTTTTTGATGATGGTTGTCTGGCAGCTCTCAGGGCAAGAAAGTCCTACTGTTATAAAAACAAAGGATTGCAGACGCTAGAGATCTGAAACAGAATCAGATAAAACTCAACAGGTCTGGCAGCATCTGTGGGAAGAAAGCTCAGTTAATGTTCTCAAAACGTTAACTCTGATTTCTTCCCACAGTTGCTGTGAGACCTGCTGAGTTTTGCCAACAATTTCTGTTTTTGTTTCCGAGTCCTTCTGCTGTCTTATTTTCTTTTGACTGGCTTATTAGCTAGCTAGCTTCTAGCACTTAGAATGAGAAAGTCCTTTTGCAAGCAATGCAAGGGTCATTAGTGGTGGTTCTTCCACGGTAATCTTCACAGCACACTAATGCTTGAATGCAGGCTAGTATTCACAGGTGCCTCAGTTCCACCAGCATATTTTCTTTCACTAGCACACACAGATCAGCATTGTAGTCAGTTTTTAACTGTTTTTTGTATATTCCTGGAAGAGCAAAATACAAAAAAAAAATTTGCGAGAGGTGACTTTCTACTGAGAGAGGAGTGATAGTCTCTCATTATTGCTTCCTGCTATGTCACTCTGTTTGATGTTTTGTCCTGATATTCTGCAGGTGCAACATTCCATGAGTCCCATACAGAACTTTGCCATTCTGCACAGAATGTATATGTGCAGTCATTTATCTTTATCTGTTACAGTCCTCTCCTTTTTTTAAGAAAAGTGCATTTTAGAAGTAATAGTGAAGAAAATGTCTATAGCATTCATCACTGTTTGCCAACTTAGTAGAAGAATTATTAATTAATAAGTTTCAACTGACGCATAATTACAAATAGAATTAGAGCTCCTCGTAAACTTAGGTATTTTGTTAATAATTCCAAGTATATGCTATCTCAAGGGATAATCTTTTCAATGATTTTCTCTGTACATAAGATAAAGAAAGATCATTCCTGGTGATGACAAATAGCTTTAATTCAATTCTGAGCACGTACAAAAGGTTACAAATTCTGTAAGCAAATATTGAATTAAAAGTTTTTCCCTTGTATTTGATAATGCCATAAAAATGCTGATCAAATTTTAGATTTTATCAAAAAAAGCTATAAAAGTTGAGAATAATGATAAGTATCTGTACAAAAAATAAGTTCTCCATTTCTTACTGCATGGAGTATTGGCATCTACACTCCAGGAAGATAGTGGGAGGTTAGAAAGCATGCAATGCAAATTCACTGAGATGCAGCCACGTCTGTGGATATACAGATATAACAAAAAAAAGACGGAAAATATTTCTCTGCTTCATTCAGACAACACAGATTTGAAGAGAATATTGTAGAATTGTTCGAATGTATGAACTGAATGGATAAGACACAGAGCAGCAAACTGTTTCTGGCAGCTGATGGTTAAGAATGAGGGGCTTTAAATATTAAAACTACAGAGGAGAAACTGAGAAACCTGCTTGCACAGAGAGTTTAGCCTGTGGATTCACTATTTACAGCTTAATGCCAAATCTAAGTCATTGTTTAAGATCAGGTCAGATAGGTAGAAGAAGGAAGATAGAATAAAGGAATATCAGAATAGGGCGGTTATATACTCATGTAGAGATAAAACACTGACACTGGCTGGCTGGGCTGGATGATCTCTTTCTGTGTTGTAAGTTTGATGCATTTCAAAATATATTTCTTTTATTAAACAGTTGGTAAAATTAATATTTATTTTGCATATGTTAGTTTTATTACAGGAAGCTATGACAGGACTTGCAAAGTGTGGGATACTGCATCAGGAGAAGAGCTACATACACTTGAAGGACATAGGAATGTGGTCTACGCTATTGCTTTCAACAATCCTTACGGGTGAGAAACTGAATTGCATTGTTAATTGCTAATATTTGTTAATAAATCTGTAATAGTGATGTCCTTGCCAGAGCTTTGTTGGAAATTACAGTTACAGTATAAAGTTACTGTACACCTACGCAGCTTCACTTGTCCACGTCTGATCACATCTTCGTAATACTCAAAGTTTAGCGAATTATACTATTATGAAATTTAAAATATACAATTGCCTATACATTGTGCATATCAAATTTTTAAGTTCCCTTCAAATTTTATGTTTAACTCTTCCTTCAGCTATGTATTTGGAGCTAGAGAATTCATCTATAAAAAATTTACAAAATGCATATGAACACAATGCGATTATCTTAAACATGGTAATGCTGCTGTTAAAGAAAAACACAGGAATTTTCAAATAAATGTACTATGTCTTCAAATAGCCAATATTCATATAATTTAACTACAAGCTTTAGATCTAGCAAGGGCTTCCATCTTTTTATTGCTCAAATTGATTTTGATGAATCCTGAACTTCCAGCATCCCAATATTTACCATTTATGAAAAATTGAACTGAACCAGCCAATGCTGTGGATCTGAGAGCAGCTCAGAGGCTAGGAATCCTGCAGTTCCAACTCCCCAAAGCCTGTCCACCTCTATCAGTCACAAATCTAGAGTGTGATGGAATATTCCCCTCTTTCTGGATGAACGCAGCTTTAACAACAGCCAAGATGTTTGATACCATACAGGATAAAACAGCCTGTTTGGTTAGTTCCACACCCACAGACATTTGCTCCTTCCACCATTAATGCACAGTTGTAGCAGTGTATACAATCTGCAAGAAGTACTGCAGAAATTCGTCAAGGCTCCTCAGATTGCACCTTCAAACCCATGGTCACTGCCATTTAGAAGAACAAGGGCAACAGATACATGAGAGCTCCATCACCTGCAAGTTTCTCTCCAAGCCCTTCACCATTCTGCCTTGGAAATATATCACTGTTCCTTCAGTCTCGCTGGGCAAAATCCTGGAACGCCCTTCCCAACAGCATTACAGGTGTAGTTGTATCAATTGGCCTGCAGCTATTTAAAAAGGTAGCTCATGACTACTTTCTCAAGGGTAATTAAGGCTGTGCAATAAATGCTGACCTGAACAGTGAAGCTCACATCTCTTGAATGAATATAAAAATCCTTGTATAACAATCTTTGTTGTGCAAATTCCAGTGTAAAATACTAAAAGAAAAAGAAGTCAATTTAAAGGTTACAGCCTACAAGATTTGATTTTATAGCCCCGCTGGCGCTGGTGCTGCAGGAACCCAGAACTCAAAATAGATTATTAGACAGCTTCCAACCACTTCCAGTGCAGCTCATTCATTATGCCATGATTGTAAAAATAGTAGTACATTGGAAGCATGCAGAGTGGACCGATCATTTAGTCATGCAGCGTCTAATGTTGTTTTGTGCACAGCCTACCATTTTGGACCTTGCAGATTTTGTTAATGTCCTCCTGTAATCTCTCCTAGTTAAACGTGCTTTCGACTGAATGAAGGCTCCTCCATTAGTGCTATGTGAAGAGGTTACCAATTGAGGTGCTTTTCTTTGCTATAAAGAGTGAGTGGAAGCACAGAATTCAGTTTGTTGGAAAAGGTTTACAAGGAAGGAAGCAGCCAGGCTGTCCTTCATTCTGAATGGCTGTCTTTGACAATATTAGTGGTTATTGTGATATTTACCTCATCCCCCTTAGCAATTTTATTAACAAATGCAATTTAAATTTGAAACTATTGTGCACTCATTTAAGACAGATGACTTCTTCCCTAGAAATTGTGTCGAGTAATGATACTGAAAGATGCTCACTGTGTATTTGTCGATCCAGCTGAGTGACAATAAAATGGACCAGATGGATTAGGGAACACTAGATTAGCAATTAAATTGAAAGGATTTATTACCCCTTTTTTTTCATTTTATTTATGTATGGATTGACCTGTCTTATTTAGCAGAGGGTGATTCTCAAAAGGCACAGTTGAACATCAGTACTAGATAAGCTTATACTGTGTGGTTTTAATGCCGAACTTTTATAGAAAAGTGATAAATAACCATGCGAGTTTATAGTTTAAAATGCTGTCATTAAATAAGGTATAATTAAAAAGCTCTACAAAATATTTAGAAGTCTCCATTTAGAACTTTTCTCCAGAGGTATTTTATAAAATGAAGTCTAGCAGCAGTTAATTTATGCTTAGCAAATGGAAGTATGCTTAAGTGATCCAAGTGCTCTATGTCTAAAAGCCTGAACATTATTTTGAAGTTCTCCTGATTGTAGAGTTTAATTAATATATAGATATGTTTCTAAGTCGTAAATTAATAGTCTAGGAAAAATTTAGCTCCTTTACAAATGGACCTTAGTAAGTCAAACCAAGGGCAACGATGGACAGGTAATAAACGCTGACCAGCCGGCGATGCCTATGCCCCATAAGCAAATAAAAGAAACAAAGCTGTGCTTAACAGTAACAAAGAAATCTGACCTAAACTTGTGTCAAGACCTGAATAATCCATGCTGAATCTTTATCCTACGTAGTGGCAGTGATGGAGACTCTAGTCTATGGTAGACTCTGTTTTTCTTAGACAACTCTGAAAAACCAAAAAGCAAGATTGGGCAACCATGAGGTTGAGCCATGAGGCAAGAGGATCCTCAGAAGATTTACTGAAAATAGTGGCTTGATGGCTTACTGGAAGTGGGGTGAAGTCTCATTTTTTCTGAAGTGGAAGCATGTTCACACCAGCTGCACGGTACCTACTCTTTCTGAAGGCCTTCAATGCGGTTAGTTGGCAGATGTGGAATATGTAGTTCCACAGTTATAGAGCAGTCACTGATTTCTATTTGAAGAAGCAATCATTCCAAGTGAGCACATTCTTATATGCACTCATCCCCATTGCTAAAGAGATCCTTATTAGGCAAGTCGTCACTTTTGTTGGCTTTGGTGTTTGTATCAGTCCCAAGAATTTTGTCATTGAATGTGATAGGGTTTGCAGCAGCTACTGGTCTAGACAATTTATGTAGTGTTGCTGATTCACTTTAAGATATGGCATTCAGAGGAAAGCTTGTTTTAATTCTTGACAGCATACTCCCTGATTTACAGCAATCAGAGCAAGGGTTGCTCTTTGAACAGGTAAACTAACGTACAAGGCATGTTGGGAGCAAGGTGTGGCACCAGGGGCTGATTTGACAGAAGACTGAGATTCGTTCTAAGTCTGTCAACGAGCTAGATGCAAGGATTGTTGTCTTGCCTTGCAAAATGTCCGCCAAGAAAGAGGAAAACGGGGGTCCACCATTTTGAACTGTTGGTGTTGTAGTGCAAGGAAGTATCACAACTGACAAAATTGTCCAGCAAGGGTATCCAGTGTCATCACTGTGGCAGATTTGACCACTTTCAACAGTTTTGCAATGTCAGATCACCTCTTAAAAATGAATCTCACAGATTTCTTCCAGAACAAAGGAAAGATCAGTAACTTGAAGAAGAAGAACTGGATGGTATGGAAGCTACATACTTTTTTGGTCAAATGAACATTGTTGACCCTGCAGCAGAAGATAATGATCTGGACTAGAATTATTGGTCAGTAACTTTGAATGACAAGAATTTTGATGCAAATTATTTTGTTGATTTAGCCATTACTGTGATACCTAATAGCTGCGAATGGCTTTACATTGTACAGCTTTGGCCATCAACAGTCAAGATTCAGGGAGGACGCATCCTTTAGATAAAAACCATTTTGAAGCAACGAGCCTATTTATGTATGAGAGAATCACAACAAATATTCACTTAGTTAGCACACATATGTCCAGTTGATTCTTTTACAGTATCTCCAAGATATTTCTGCCTTGATGGATATCTTCCATGCCATTATAGTGACTACATTCCATTGTGTAGGGAGCTGCTATGTCTGGATTAATACTGTGACAACTTACCTCAACCTCGTCAAAAATAGAACTTTCATCTAAAGAAGATTGAACAACATTTTCTGAAGATTTCTCAAAGCTTTCACTGCGTATTGAAGTTCAAGAAAATCGGATGACATTTTGTGAAAAAAATTTCTCAAGTTTTCCAAAAGTATTATGAACCGTCTCCATTTGTGTTAGAAGAGGATGAGCCTCTTTCTTCTTTAGATATTCCTAACCAGGTGATACACCCAGGAAATAATAATATGCTACTATCAGGCCTAGTTTCATTGCTTCAAAAAGTAAATCCTGTGGTATCTGACTTTTATTTCTTGATATGGTTTCCTCTGCCTCTCATAGAGTCATAGAGTCATACACCATGGAAACAGACCCTTCAGTCCAACTAGTCTACGCCGACCATGTTCCGAAACTAAACTAGTCCCCCTTGCCTGCGTTTAGCCCATATCCCTCCAAACCTTCCCTTTTCAAGTACTTACCTAAACGTCTTTTAAATGTTGTAACTGTACCTGCACCCACCACTTCCTCTGGCTGTTCATTTCACACACTAACCACTTTCTGTATAAAAAAAAGTTGCCCCTCATGTCCTTTTCAAAAGTTTCTCCTCTCACCATAAAAATATTCCCCTGATTTTGAACTCATCCCACCTTGGGAAAGACCCTTGCTATTGAGCTTATCTATGCCCCTCATGATTTTATAAATCTCAACCAGGTCATCCCTCAACCTCCTATGTTCCAGTGAAAAAAGTCCCAGCCTACCCAGCCTATTATTATAACTCAAACACTTCATTCCCAGCAAAATTCTGGTAAATCTTTTCTGAATTCTCTCCAATTTAATAATATCCTTCCTATAACAGGGCGATCAAATCGCACACAGACTCCAGAAGAGGCTGTATGTTCCTATTAGGGTGAAGAGCAAGGCAGGTAGGTGTAGGGAATGCTGGATGACTAGAGACATTGAAGTTTTAGTCAAGAATAAGAAGGAAACATATGTCAGGTATAGACAGCAGAAATCGAGTGATTGCCTTGAACAGTATAAAGGCAGAAGGGGTATACTTAAGAGGGAAATCAGGAATGCAAAAA